GATGCTGGGCCAGAGGGAGAGGCCCAGTGAGTCACACGCTGGCTCTTGACGCACCTGCCCTGGGACAAAGGCCACCTCGACCCACCTTTTGCTGAGATGCCCGAGTGCCAAGATGTGCAATCCTACTGTGCGCAGGGGGAGAGAGGGTGGATTTTTTGGCAATAAGATGTCCACTCCAGCAGAGATGCTCAGCCTGACAAACACTGGTGTGTCAGGACAAAAAGACAGGATTCATACATGCAAGGATTCATACCTGTTCAGAAAACAAAAACTCAAAAGAAACACAACAGATAAAAGTGAATCAAAATAAAGAACTTGGGAAGAGGTACATAAGAAACAGGTGAGCAAACAGAGCTCCCAATAGGGAGCTGGACCAAAAACTTCCTTGATAACATGATTGAAGTTCAATATCACCATTAAAAGATTCCTGAGATAGAGGCATATGTGAGAAGTTTGTATCCTGAACTGAAATCTAGATGATTTCAACAAAACCCAGGAGAGAGAGAGAGAGAGAGAGAGAGGATGTGTGTGTGTGTGTGTGCGCGCGCGCGCCACGCACACACTTGTAAGAAAGGCAAAAACCTGACATTCTGCTGAGTTTCTTCTTGTTCAGGGAGAAAGTGGATAACTGAAATCCACTGATAACATAGAATCAAGATGTTGAATGCCAACTTACTACAGGGAAAATTTTTGACCAAACAAATAATGATGAAAGCAAAAAAAGAGCCAGTTAGAAAACATAATAGGAAAATGAACTAAATGACAAATAATATTGCAACAGTGATCACAATCAACAAGTTATATTCTTTCCAGATTTCGCCAAAAAAAAAAATTCTAGCAATGTACTGTTTACAAACCACCTACCTCCTGTAAAGTGATAGAGAAAAGATGCTTTTGTTTTGAATATAAGTTCAAAACAAAAAGAACCAAACAGAAAGACATTTTATACTGATGAGAAAATACCATTCATGAGCTTTTTTTTTTTTTGGCCGCAGCACGCGGCTTGCAGGATCTCAGTTCCCTGACTAGGGACTAAACCCGGGTTACAGCAGTGAAAGCCCAGAATCCTAACCACTGGACCACCTGGGAATTCCCACGAGCTTTTTAAAACTAAGCTGCAACCAAAAACAGGAAAACATGATAATACCAATATACAATCCTTTAATGTACTTTTCTTAGAAATGGACAGATAGTATAGGCAAAAAAAAAAAGGGGTGGTGGTGGTGGAGACGGCAAAAAAGAAAAAGATTTAAATAATTTACAAGCTGAATTTGATAGATTACATAAGACTTTATACCAAACCAACAATATGCGTTATTTTCAAAGGTGGTAGAACTTTTTCCATGATCCCCTCCCCCCAAAAATCATTCTAAAGTTCATCTGGAGAAATAAATGCACAAAAGAATCTAGAACTTTTTGAGTAAGAACATATCCATGAGGCTGTCGGTACTGGTGTGATGGTGACCAATGGAACCGTCCAGTCCTGAGCTGTACAGACTGGCAGTCTCCAGCCACCTGTAGCTGTGGAGCACCTGAGCTACTGTGAGTCTGAACCCACAGGCTGGAGTGTAAAATACACACATGGGATTCCAAACTTAGTATAAAAACACTGTAAAATATCTCAATATTTCTAATGTCCATTACATGTTGAAAAAATGGGTTAAACTATTAATTTCATCTGCTTTTTCCTTTTTACTGAGGCTCCTAGAAAATTTAAACTATGTCTACTGGACGGCACTGGTCCTGAAACGGGCCTGGGTTTTCAATTTTCTGTCCACATCCTTTATGACACTTGTTCATGGAGTCTTAAGTCTTACTTTCTGATCATCAGAGTTAAAAATGTTCACTCTCTGGCCTAGATGCTGCCAAGTTTCTCCTGGATTTGTTTACATAAAAATAGGCAAAATGATGGATCTCTCCTGCCAGTGTTTTTCCAATTCTCAGTTCCACAGCTTTCCTGTGGGCTGGTCAATTAGCCACTGCGGTGTGTGTTCGGGGAAACGGAACGAAGCATGATCATCCTCATGTTGTTGCAGAGCAGTCGTGGTTGAGAACCTGGCTTTGAGTCTCAGCTCCACTCCATCTGCAAACTGATCTAGTCTCCATCTTCTACCTGTGGCATCAGGCCCTGCCTCGCTGGGTTGTCATGAGGACTAATAAGTATTACCTGTAAAAAAGCACGGCGTCTGACAGGAAGTTCTCCAGCTAAACCTTGTTGGATCTTCAGCTCACAGTGGTTAGGTGCCACCTCTAAGCTGTACAAGGTGCAGCAGTAACCCCAGAACCCAGCCTCCACGCTGACACCCCAAGAAGTCTGGTCACTTCTCCCGTACCCAGCAGGGCTCCAAGGACCAGAGAGGGGGCTACAGTCCACACAAACACCTGCAACGAGAACAGGCTGGATGCTCTAGCCCCTGTGCTCAGCCATCCACCTCTCCCTTACACCCTTCTCCAGCCCCAGCTTCTCCCAAGAGGTCAAGTTCACACTTCAGCTGGCCCCTGGATGGCCCACAGGTAATTCAAAGAACATATCAAAAATGTACTCGCCCGGAGGGTCGCCGTCTGGCCGGGTGGAATAGGCACCTCTGTAAAACCGTAAACCCACACTCCCCTGTAAAAGCAACAAGATTACCGGCAAAACGGTCAAACTCAACTTTTTCAGAACTCTGGAAATTAATCAAAGGCCCACAGCAATCTAAGAAGTGTTCATCCGAGGAGTACATGCCTTTCAGCAACTTCCACCTCACTTTTCCTCCAATATTCCAACCCTGAAGGTTAAAACCCGAGACACCAAGCACAGCCCACCCCCGCGTCCCCACGGCCTCCCCTCGCCCGTCCTGGGGCCTTATCCAAGGACCCTGACCCCGTCATTTGTCAGACCAAGAGCCACCCCAGAGGAAGCCTGTCTCGGCTGGACCACCCTGGCTTTGGTCTCTGCTCCTTCACCTCGCCCATCCTCCTTCCTGCACCAGAATCATGTGGTTCCCACCTTCAAAACCCCTCCATGGCTCGCAAAGATAGAGACCAAACCCACACACCCAGCTTTGTGAGCCCTCCTCAAACTAGCTCGAAGGCTCCCATACACCCTTTCCTGCTCCAGTGATGCAAACTGTAGGG